ATCAAGCAGTCCCCACTGGTTGTCATTAGCTGCAAACCACGTGAAAACTGCCTACCACACTGTAGGTGCGTGAGAAGCAGTGAAAAGTGATTGAATTTCTTGTTTTGGAATGTGTAAAGACTGCAGGTATCCACCTCCGCCTGAACGTTTTTTTATGATGACGGCTCCGTCGATCGTCGGGTGAGTTGCATCTTGCCTGGAGAGACGAGTGTTAAAGACAAGGTGCGAATTCTAGACGACCCAACACTGCCACCTATGTCGAGGGCATCGAGAAAGTGGATGAACGTATAGTTAGTTGGATGCTATGCCAATTGGTGGTTCGGACCTGGCGCCGTCCGACTACCGCCTCTTCCGACCAATGAATCACAGATGATGTCACTTTTTTGAATGATGAGGATGTGGAGAATGCAGTTTGAAGGAGGCTTCGTCACCAGGGCAAGGGCTTCTATACAGATGGAATTCCTGCTCTTGTAAAACTATGGGAAAAGTACATTGCCAGTAAAGGTGACAACAGAAAAATTGGTAGTTAATCGCAGAGCCCTCATGGACATTACTAGTTCCTTTGCATATATTTCTCATTAATAGAGTATGAGAAAAATTTGCGCATCACTTTCCGAGCGACCCTCGTACATAGGAATTGTAAAGACATGGAAATGTGGAAAGTTATGATTTATATGGAAAGTTCTACCCGAGTCATTCCACGTCAAATCAACACACTAAAATAATGACATCCTCTGAATTTGATTAAATTTGGACGAAGGTTTGTACACTTGATGAAGTGGGACATCCTTAATTCTTTTATCCTCGGTCGCTTAGATCTAAAGATGAGAGGCCATAAATATGTCTGCTTTGTTACCTTTTAGCACCCTTGTCCCTAAATACGCTTATAACTTCTCTTCTTGTAAAGATGCTTTATGACTCTAGTGAAAGGCCTTTTCCTGCCCCTCCCAATAGCATTAGATTCGATAATGACATCGAAACTCAAACGTATTATGTCATCAAGCAAAAATACCATATTTTCTATTTTCACTAAATTTGACTTACAGACGTTCATCTGCCTGTAGTTAGAGCAAGTCTCCCGAGAATCATCCTGGGTTGTTAATAAATGTTTGAGATATTGATAGTTTTGTCACTGAAAATAAAAAAATTCCCCTTTCGGATAAAACATTAAGTCATTCCATATCAAATCAATACACTCCAAAACAGAACTTTTCAATTTTGATTAAATTTAAGCCAATGCTTTGTGGTTTTGGGAAAAGGAGGTATCCGAAATATGTTTGTCTTCAGGCACTTAGCAAGATGGGGATAATGAAACAAAATGACACATGTAGGTGAACATGTGCAACACGCACGCAAAAAAATATTTTGGTATATAAATAACTTTGTTAAGTTTTTAGAACTTTTTTCGCTGAAATATGAAAATTTTCACGGATCTCTGAACTCTTAACATCTACTGAAGTGAATCTGGAAATAGGTGAATAAGGAAAAAATCATGTACTAAGAAATTAACTGTCAAAGTACGTCACAGTTAGTGGATAAAAGTGCTTGACGAAATTCATAAAACGCTGCAACACAAGCTGCCTCCACAAACAATGAAACTGACGAAGAAGCATTTACGAAAAAATTCAAGCACGAAATGTACCGATTCGATTTATTTCAGCCCGTGAGCACGGATTTTAGAATACTGTGATTTCTAGGTCTGTGAAAATTAAGAGAGAGAGGAAAAGCTTCTACGGCAGCAAGGCATTGCTTTCAATCCATTACCCTCTAATTTCTTCTGGAACACCTTCCAAGAGCACCATTCAGGTTCAAAGTTGATTTCTAGGTCTGTGAAAATTAAGAGAGAGAGGAAAAGCTTCTACGGCAGCAAGGCATTCCTTTCATTCCATTAGCCTCTAATTTCTTCTGGAACACCTTCCAAGAGCACCATTCAGGTTCAAAATATCATCATTGATCAAAGCAAGATATTGCATGAGACTTCCTTGGGGAGTTATTATCAAGAGAGCCAATGAAAACGGCCTATGTATAATAGCTTTTTGTGACAAAGGATATCCATTTATATTCATAGCGACAGTAGACACTCATCTGAAGGGAAAGAGGGAATCGCTTTTGACATAAAATGTAGTTATGAGGCCCCACGAGTCAAATTTCGGCTACCGTAAAAGAAGCAAAGGGTACTCACTTGTCCAACAGAATATCGTTTGTCGCAGTCTTCCCAGTTTTACAATCCATCATGTGATACGTTATACATGCAACACCACGTCCTACATGTCCTTCTGTTGGCCCCCTTGGGAGTAGATGCAATGAATTTACTACCAAAAGAACCAGGTCAGCAATATTCCCCTTCCTTCCCCATAAGAAACAGCAGTTTTGAGGACAAAAGCGGTCCCAGTCGAGGAACTACAGCTGGCCATGGCCGAGCACTAGCTTTGGTAGGAAAATTCATATTTGGTCTGAGGTTTGACTCATGATCTGTGAAGGGGAAAGTCACCCGATCCGGGAACTGACGACCATTCAGAATAAAGGATAGGTTCGTGTCAGAATGAGACAGGCCAATACTTCGTATGAGGTCTCGTCCCCTCTTCAGACCTCTAGTTAAGACTTTGGCATGGACCATCTCATTCATTTTACGGCTGATGATCAAATGCCTTTCCTTGCATAGCTCTTGTTTTTTGTTGAGGTTGCGAAGGAGCATGATGACGGTACCAGATTTGAATTTTAACCAATGAGGCGACGTTCCAGATTGTCAGGCTGTTGAGGTAAAGTGCTGGATAATTGTTTTTCTCCTTTGGACCATCACGTACTATCAGGTCGATATTAATACAACTGGCATGGATTCCTCCGATACTCGTGTTAATAATTCTTCTTTCGATTAAAGTTCCTCTTAATTGTTGGGGAAAATAATGGTCTTGTTTCGTATTAAATAAAGATATTCAGGAGCGATGCATTTACCATAGAAATTTTCCATGATACATTCAGTAATCACGCATCGTTGAGATTGCGCAACCGCACATTCAGATATCTCATTCAAAATCAGGTATAGGTCTTCTCCAAGAGAAAATATCCATGTTGAGAATTCCTTCTGCTCCCGTTCCGCCTTCGTGTTCACTGATGGATTCCGGATCTTGAAAATAATCAAACAGAGCTACGTTTTAGGCAACAAGCAAGCTTGGATGGCTCAGTAATTGCCTTAGCGAAAGACGCAAAGGACTTCTCTCAAGTCGGGGGGTCTAAAACATCCTGTGGAGGGTGTTGATCGCATAGAAAGGAGATATGTGTGTTTCATGTTATTAATATATATCAAGTACCTGGAAGACGGCAATCCATTTGTGCCTTCGGGACGAACTTTCCAAGTTTAATTTCTTTAAATCGGCACTGGAAACTCATGACGGGTGGGCAGCTCTTCCTCCCTTCAGCAAAGTTCCCGTCATTCCAGTCCATGCAACAAGCAATACGATTTCCACTTCTCCCCTCACGGTATGGATTAGCGCATTGTACAGGAGGGTATTTCCTGTTCCGCTGGCTCTGTTGTGTAGAAACACCTTCCGGAGCCTATCGGGTTATTTTGTCTCATGCTTTCGATGATGACGTCGAGTTTTGCACGTTACTCTTGATGAAGTATGACAAACACGTTTTCCCATTTCTCTTTCTGCAGGTACGTCGAAACAAAATGTGTCATGGATAATGTTATATTTTGGCTCAGGGAGTTGGAAAAATGAACGTTGGAAGCCGTGAGCTTGGAAGGAATAGCACCCAATATTAGACAAACAATTGAAAATTGCTTTAGACTTGAGTTGGGAGTGAGACAGAAAGAAAGAAGAGTAACTTGGGCAAGTAGGTATCCCAGCAATTTTGGAAAATATCCGTTTCATTCACACTCACATCACGTTAATTTCATATCACCGTTTACGTATCACATAAGTGACATTTCTGCAAACATGTTCACGCTATCTTGACAATGGTCTGCGTAAAAATAACACAAATTGTAGAAAATGTACATTCATTTTACATAAAATTAACATATAAATGCTGTTTTGGACTCGTTACCCTTGTTTTACTTCTTCGCTATGAATAAACCAATACATTTCCTCCTCCTATTTCCGCTAGTCCGTGATTATTCGGTTTTGGTACAAAATCACTAACCGTCGACGATGAATCAGCAAATCCATTGGTCCAACATATTTTAATTTTCCTCAGAATGGTGAGGAGCTCAAGGCATATATTCTGCATACTGAGCAGCACTGCGTAAAAAGAAGTGAACAATGTTCGATTGCATTAAGGAAACTATGCTCAAAATGACCCCCATACAAAAACCACCAAGTAAAGGGCACTCTCGCTGCCCTTTACTTTGTGTTTTTCTACATGGTTATTGCCACCTAAAGTTGGGCAGTTACAAGGAATAAGTGCTGCACATTTGAAAAACACTCAATTATTCCGTGTGGAAATTCCAAAGTAAATTTCAGCGTCTCACAATTAAATTTGTGGAAACGAAAATTTTTCAATCACAAAATGCTAACTTCATGACTCTAGTTTCTTGGGATACGTTTTCATTACACCGACACCGTTCATCGACTAAAAGAAAAGTTCCTAAGGACATTTTAAAGGTCATGGAAACTTGCTCATTCGCTTGAAAAGTGAAAATTTTTATAACTAAACGAGAAATGTAAAAAATGATGGTTATGTCCCACAGACATTATAGAAGAAAAACTATGAGTCCGAGATAGTGGAAATGACAGATAATCTGAATATGCTTGAAAAAACGGATCCTTTGTAACCTGGAAAAATGCGAATGTGAGGAACAAAATTCAAAATGAGATTTGAAGTGACAGTAGGCTTCAGCTCTCTCTCTCTCTGGCGAAGCAGCATGACTTTCAATCTCAATATACAAATGCAATCAGCAACTACTTAGTCGACTTTGCGCTATGTGCACTATATTTGCAGGAAAATGATAATGGCGAAAGGAGCGCGGAGTATAGACGGGGAAATTCCAGGCAAGATCCCTGCTGATGTGATCATCTTCCTGTTTACGTCAATCGATCTGAGAAGGCCAGATCGAATGCAGCTCTCCTTGTTTCTTTCTGAGTGGAGGTAGTGTAGCGAAACTCATCTCCCCAAGAAATGGTTGAATTCAGAACTTTCTTTCCCGACTTTCCCTCCAATTTCCCGTTGTCTCTCCCTGCCAGGCAAAAAGTAGATGAAGATACTCATTGCATCAGTTGTGGCTAAATGGTCAAAGACGAGTAGATATGAACCTACAAGTGAGAATGACCAGTCGCTTCGGCCCCATATTGTCGTTTCGAGGCCGTCTCCAACCATATAAGAATAGGTCAAAGATCCATTCTATCATTTCCAGAACAGAGACGAAAGAGAGCCCGGTGTAGAGACCGAGCATCCCCCCGAACATGCCAATGAAGTCCGCCCACTGCTCAGGGATGGTATCATACGTCATTGGAAGAGGGGGGTTTTCTTGATGTTCAGAACCTGATCGATTATATTATAAAAAGTATACCGCTCACGGGATACAGTAGTTCTTCTGTAATTTCCTCCGTTGCGAAGGTCTCATAGTAGACGTTCAGAATAGTGTAGCTCTCACTGTTGAAAAAAGGACATCAACACATGCTGATTGGTATAACTTTCACTACTGGGGAACGTGCTTGGAATTGCTGAGTTCTATGGTTGTTTGCATATATTCAATGCTATCATACGATGACCGTTGAGGATGCGCTATAAGGTCAGTAAGGACGGTATACACATTATGGCGAACAACATTAGCTATAACACAAGTGACATGAGAATGAGAGTAACTTCATTCTTTTCTCATTTCAGCTTTCTCTTGCGAAACAATATGGTGTCCCACAGTAGTGCCGTTTTGATGTATTCAAACTGACTGCTTCAAGCTCATCTTTAGGAAAATCGTGGGAAACTTTCATGTTGACTACCTATAGGTCACTGTTAATGATAATTTGCATCAATGATGGCATCTTAAGAGACCAAGTTGGTGAAGAATATGAACCATTTCGTACAAAAAATGACAAGCAAATTTGCAAAAAGTACTGCAAAGAAGAGGTACACTTTAATGCAACTCATCAGTAACTTCAATAGGGGTTTGCGTTCTTCAATTATTTCTGAAATTACTTCAAAACTTTCTCTAAAAACGTATACTTTATCAGTAAATGTGTACACTGACTTGGGGTGATACCAGAATTTCTGTTCTCTCAGATCCGTTTCATCGAATTCGTTCCTTTGCTTTTTTATCCAAGTGATGAGAGCCATGAGCAGGGCATTCTCACGACCCATCTGCACCGAAGACAATGACCACTGAAAGTTCTCCTCCCTGAAAAAGGGTCCATCACGCCGCCAACTTTTTATCGCCATCTTCTTAACACCCGAGATTCATCAGGTTACGACTTACATGCAAGTTTTTGAAGGACAGCCACAGATTTCATCGTCACTGAAAACCTTATCAAGCATCATTTCTTCGAATTCTTTCACATGGGGAAGTGAGAATAAGAACATTGTCAACAAGTTTTTCAATCTAATGAAGAGCTTGAAATGAGACTCAAATAATAACGAGCTTTTTCTGATCGTTCTGCAAAGTAAGCTGCAGGAGATGACTGAAACTGTCATCGACCCAAAGAAACAAAGTGCCTAATTTCTTACTTGTGCTGTTATAAACTGTGTAATTAGATGAGATTCGCAGAAGAGAATCATCCCAGCCCCACCGACTCTCTTCAGGAATCAGTTGAAGGAAGCACATTTTGAGACAGACCTGAAGGAGTGGAGACATATAGAAAATCATGAGGATAAATGCATTCGAGACTCAGTGACACTGGAACGAAGCTTTCTTTACCAGCTTGGTATACTTCAGCTTCTGTGAGAAACTGAAGATCTCGTGGTCGAATCTTTGCTCAAGATATAATTCAGGTGCACAATCTCCTCCCAAGTCTGGAGGAAGTCTTCCTAACACCGCCCTCCTGATGCCAATATAGGAAATCGATTGGATATTTACATCAAATCCTTCTTTTAGGGGATCGGGTTGCTTCTCGGGAGAATGGATCATGAGCCTAAATCCTTCGGTTGGTGAAAGAAGAATAGCCTCCTTCGAGACATGTGACGCAAGTATCAGCTGGAGTCCCTCCTGTGCAAATATAGTCAAGGTGACGTAAATGTGAATTTCATGATTTAGGTATTCCTGTCCAGAAAATCTTACCGAAGGTATCATGCCATTGAAGAATAGCTGGTCTTCAGAGTTCCTAACCTTCGCCCAATCCCCTCCTAACATTGTAGAGGTTCTGTTCAGTTCTGCTTCCGATGTTTCCGCTTCTGCGGTAAAGACGAGGCATTTCCAAAACGCGTCTGTTTTCACAACAGTGAAAATTCTGTAAATACCAATGAATCATGTTTATTTAATACTGTTCCTTATGCAGTTTTTAGACGACCCAAAAAATGCTATCCTTCGCTGCTTCCATTGATATGATTTACTAGGGAGCTTGTTTGCCCGAAGGGCAAACAAACTCGCTATGGTCGCGCCTTCGGCGCTCTATTACCTTGGATAGTGATTAATTCATTTATTCTTTTCGAAATGGCAAGCACGTATTTGAAGTACATCCCCATTGAAATACGTGACATATGGAGTCGAAAGTCTTGGTTTTCATCAAAATCATTATCTCTATGATTATATGTGTGCCTAACCTGAAATCTTTCCTTGTGTCTCTTTTTCTAAGGGTGGAGAATACATTTTGAAATACTTCTCTCCAATAATCGACGCTAAGGAGACATATTTCAAAATTAGGATTCTTCCTCTATTCAGACATCAAATAGGTACTTCTGAAAGTAGTTTAAATTTTCTGCCTCTGGATAAAAAAATTAGGAAAATGGGACTGAAAAAATTGGTCTAATGGGGTTTAAATAATTTTATTTTTCTTTTGAAATGTAGACTCAGGGAACTCTATGCAACCCAATTTCAGCCTTATACGTTTCCCCTTTTTGCTGTGGGAAAAAATTTATTTGGAAAAGAGACCCACCCAAAAACTGTGCTCTGGGGATACGTATAAAAAAAGTTGAATTTTTTCTTAAATCAACATCACTTCAGTGATGCGTGCGCCAGCTACTTTTCTATGTCTGCCCGGTGAACTACATGCCAACAAAGTTTCAATATTATACGTTTGCCCTTTTCGCTGGTGAAAAAACATGCTTGAAAAAGCCGACCCACCCAAAAGCTATGCCCGGAGGGGATGCCCCATGAAAGCTGAATACTCCCTCAGCTTAGTAATATCATGTCAGTTATACGTGTGCTAAGTTTCACCTTTCCATTTCTGTCCAATTCGCCGCGACAAAATTTTTTTT